AATAACTAAAAAATTCTTACCTTTATGGCATGCTTGGTGTCAACTGAGAATTAATAAAATAAAAAAAAATAAAGGAAAAGAAATTGTTAAAAAAACCTGAAAAAAAAGAGAGAGAAAATGAAAAAAGAGAGCATACTTTACGATGAAAAGATGATGCTTGATTTCAATGTGCGACAAAAATCTTTCTCCTATCAATTCTGGATTTATAATGAGAATGCGTACATGTTTTGTACTCAGTCGACTTTGTATTTTTAAGTTAGTACAACATGCACAAATTTGGACACATTTAATTTTTTGGTATCCTAAACCGAGGTTTTTCATTATAAATTTAACAATATAAAAGTTTTATTTCAGCCCATTCTCTTTTTAGTAAAATGCTTCACATCTATTTGATAATTTTGTCATAACTGGCCTCGCTAAACCCATAACTTGACCTGATGGTGAACACCTGTGCAATGATTGATAATTTACTATAATTTGTGCAACCATCCCATAATGGTTTACTAAAATCTTTCAAAAGATCAAAAAACTTGGTCATGTCTGCATTACGTTCTTCATTTATGATTGAACATTGATCAATATGACCCTAATTTATTCATAGTGCATCCATAATCATATTTCTATAAAGATTACTATTGTCATTTATAACTCCATACACATTGCTATCACTAAAAGTTGACCCAACTATCCTCTCTACCATGGTATCACGAGGAATATATGGTTCTCCATGTGTATATCAATACAAGTATTTCTTCGTAAACTATTTTTGTAGAAGATGCATTGTTACAATATTTGAATCAATAAATTTTTTATTCTTATACCTCTTGCATGGATTTCTAATATCACCTCCACTAATATTTCTTGGGTTAAATAGTGCATAATTAATAAAACTTTAAACCCCATTATAACAATCCATCATCCTCAGCCCCCTATTATAACAATCCATCATCCTTAGCCCTAGGGGTGAATCTCGATATATCCATGAATGATCATCCATTACTTATATCAAGCCTAGTTAAATAATGATTACAACATGTATTAATTAACTACGTTAACTAAATAAATTTGCAAAAATATTAGTTTAACTTAATCTTATTCAATCTATTTTAATAGTTCTCTTAATTCATTATGAATTATATATCTACATATATTCAAATTTCTACATATTTATCGAAAATTATAAATCAAGAATAAAATTAATAAAATATAAAACAAACCCGTTAAATGAATCATTATTTATTTCATCACAAAACATCAAAGTAAAAAATTCGATATAAGTTTCATCAATTTACAAACAAATATAATTTTATAAAATTTAAAACAAACTATAACATGTAAAAGATATAAATCCATACAAAAAATTTATATGATAAAAAAATTATAAAACAAGTAAACACCCAAAACAATACATATATTACAAATATATATATACATATATATATATATATATATATATATATAAAATAACATAAAAAATATTATAATTTCTATATAAAAACAAAATAAAAATTATAATCAAACATTTAGTAAGCAGTTAAAGTATAATATGATAGAAAAGATAGATTAACATAAATAAATTATAAAGTGCTTTTGAGTTTGTGATTTAAATAAGAAAATAAAAATTCAACATGGATTCTTGAAATTTTCAATTATTTTCTCATAATATATTAGTTACGAAAATAAAATTAGAATTGCAAAATGTATTGTAACTTTATCATATTAAAATTTAAAATAAAAATAGTGTTATGCAGGAGTCACTTTTTCCCCCCCTCAAAGCCCATGCACATGTTTTTATCTCAAATATAAACATAATGCATCAGTATACTTGACAGTGTCAATTTTCACAACACCAAAAGAAATAATAAGACCATTTATCTGTACTCGTGTCAGTCAAGAAACCATGGGTTCAACTTAATTTAGAACATATTAAGGCCATTGCAAGTTCAAGGTAATGTCATTTAGTTTGACTAATAGACTTGCTACCTTTCTAGCATTAATGAACAATGATTTAGAGCTATTTTTAAGGAAGTTTATTTCGGTATTTTTTGATGTATATCAAGCTATAATCTACTGGATTATATGTTAATTGGAAACTTTAAATGCTAACTAATTATATATAACTAAGTCCAAGTGTATATTTGATGAACAAGAGGTACAAATCCCAAAAATGATACAACTAGTAAGAAATTGGCTAGAACCACAATCTTTAAAGAAGATTAGAGGGTTCCTTGGACTTGCAGCTTACTATAGGAATTTTATCAAGTGATTTGGTACCATTAGCTAACCATTTATAGGTTTAATAAAAAAAAATAGCTTTGTTTGGAATGGAAATACTTAATAAGCGTTTGATCAATTTAAAAGGGCACTTTATGAAGCCCCGGCTTTTGCAGTGTTTGAGTTGAATAAAACAATACATGTGATACTAGAACAAGGACAATACCGAGTGAGGGAGGGAAGCCTTTATTATTTTTTACCCATGAAGCCCCGGGTTTAGCAGTGTTTGAATTTAATAAAACAATACATGTGATACTAGAAAAAGGACAATACCGAGAGAGGGAGGGAAGCCTTTATTATTTTTTACCAAGGCATTGAGTCTTATGCATACAAACCTATCTATTCATGAGAAGGAGTATTTGGCAATTTTGATGGCAATAGAAAAAAATAGTCATTACTTGGAATAAAAGCTATTCATTATTTAGAATGATCATGAAAGTTTTAAACATTTTTTAGATAAGAAATTTCATACACCAATCTAAAAGAAAGGATTAACTAAGTTGTTGGGATTAAAATATCATATTTTATACAGAAAAGAAAAAGAAAATATGGTTGCAAACTCTCTTTCTAGAAAGAACAATAGTGAAGTAGTTGATGTAGAAGTTGGTAGGGTTGGAATAATATCTAAAATAATATCAGCATAGTATGATGAATTTCATACACTTATATGAATGATCCATTATCACGTTTGTGTTTAACAAGAGAGAAATTTAAATTATATTCCTGACGTTTGTGTTTGAAATAATTCTTAAAGTCTTTCCACAGCTTCTCAATTATTGTTGCCACCAGGGAGCACTCACTCAACATTATTTCTTTTGCTTGGATCTCATGAATGCTTAGCTAGAGATTTTGGACCTGACTAATCAGAAATCTAAAAACCATTATTTTAAAGTCCATAAACTCGTGAACCATAAATTTCTTTATGTCAGCGTCCTCAATCTTGGACTTCTTACCCCAGCACTTCCACAATACTTTAGCACTCTTAATTGGATTATACAAAGCGCTGTAAACCCATTAAGAATATAATTATTAAATATAAAGTTTGAATGCATTCATGCTTCTACCATAACAGTAGTGGTCAGATCTCATTATCCTTCATAAAAATACATTTGCCACTGTTTCTATAAGGATTGTGCAAGGTTCAAAGTCATCAAGTAGAATAAAATCTTTTGCTACCATATTTTAGAGTCCACACCACTTAAATTCTCAACATTTTCATATGCAAGAATCATGTTAGCCAACAGGAAAACCATGATAACGAGCTGAGGGCTATTAGGGTAACCAGTGCATTATTACTATTAACACTAGTTTAGTTATATGTTATCACAATAACATAATAAACTTCACACACACACACAAAGTAAAGGTACACTAATAAATTTAATCAAAACAAATCTCACACACACTCTTATATATATAATTATATACACTATTAAATTTGGAAAAAAGAAGTTGCTTTCACTGTTATGGTAACCAAACACTTTAATTAAGGAGAAATATATACATACATATATGTATGTGTTAAACATAAGGTATCAAGAGCAGTTGTGGTACAATAGTAAAAATCTTCTAGTTGTAACCTACCCAAGTTTGATTCTCTCAGAAATTGTGCAATTACTTATCTATCTAGCTATATGCAGAAGCATAATGTATATGCATATATGCATACAAATTGAAATCAAAAGCACAAAATAAGTTTGGCTTGTAAATCTTGGTTTTAAATTCAAACATATCATGCTCATGCACAAATAAAAAAATGATTAAATTATTTTAATATTGTTGTTCTTCTATAATAATCTGGTTTATACAAAACATTAAAAGACATATAAATCAACATATAAAAGAAAATCAACTTACGAGTTTGTTGACAAAAAAACCAACTTCAAGATTTAGATTGGGATAAAGATTAATTCTGCCGTCTTAAAGTAATTTATTTCATGTCCTTTGATGCTTGTAATGTAATGGTAATATTGTTTCTCAAATGTACTCAATATTATATTCTCAATAGCACAAATTAACAAGGATAAACGACAAACCTATTTTATAAATGTTTATCTCGGCAAGAAGGAACGCAAAAAATTTGATAGAAGGAAAAGGAAAAAAAAGTAAAAGAGAAGAGTTTTAGAAAGATAAGAGTTATTATGGATATTTTTTAAATATTTTTGGAAAGCTCTTTTTATATAAATAATTCTAATAGTTTATTTTAATATCTTTATTTAAAAACAAACTATTTTTATTTAATTGAAAGTTTAAAAAAAACACAATTTTATTTCAAGTTAATAGACTTTTAACAAATATAATTTTTCTTTCACCGTAATAGAAGATTATTGGTAATATTTGATGGAGAAATAACAAGAGATCATGATTATTTAAAATAATATTTTCCATCATAGCAGTATTTTTATATACAATGACATGAATATTTTTTTTTCTTAGATGGCATAAATTGCTCTTTTTAGTATTTGGTTTTTTATTCAGCAATAAATACTTTCCCACATTAGCTTGGTATATTTAAATAATAATAATAATTTTTTTAATGTCAATCAAATAAAAAATAATCTTCTTTATCTTTTCAAAATTTATTGCCTTTCATTGATTTGACGCCTTAAATCATTCTCCACAAACTATTGCCTACAATAGGATTGACCCAGTAAACGGTGTCTAATCATGGTCCAGTGTCATCCCAACTAAAAATAATCTCCGTAGTCGAAATAAGTGATCCTCCCTATCTCCTAGCCTCCCTCAGACACTTGCCACACAAACCCTTTCCCATGGATAACTTCAATTCTCCAATCCACATGCACCACCCTCGGCCTCCTCAACACTGCTGCTCCCCCTTTTCCAATGACGGAGCAGGTCCCAACAGTTCCACATTCTGATGCAATCCCTAAAATTCATGACCCCGTTGCCACCCCGAACCAACCCTTTTTTGAGCCTGGCACATACGTGATCCAAATTCCTAGAGATCAAATTTATCGTGTTCCACCACCTGGAAACGCCTCGGTCTCCCAACGCCAAAGAAATCCCCATCAAAAGAAGCACAAGTCATGTTGTGGTTGCTCTTGCTTCTGGTGTTGTTTTATTGCCATTGTCAGTGGTATTGCAGTTGCTGTTACCATTGTAGGACTCTCTTTTATTTTACTCAAGCCTAAGGATCCCGAATTTCAAGTTCAACGCTTTGTCGTAAAAAAACCACAAGTTTCCAAGAATAAATACTCATATACAAACTATGACATCAGGCTGAATGTTCATAACTCAAATCGGAGATCAAGCATTTTGTATCAGCAGGGTGGTGCTGTTTCACTTTCATTTAGGCAACAAAATGTTGCAACCGGAAAGTTTCCAACTTTCCACCAAGGTCACAAAAATTCAACAGATATTGGAATAGTCCTTAAGGGGACTCGTGTTGGGTTACCCAAGGATGTACAAAATAGCCTGAGAAATAGAAAATCAAAAGTACCTCATTCATTTTCTCTAAAAATGAATGTTCCAGTGAAAATGAAAACAAGTGGTTTCAAAACTGGGCGTGCATAAATTGTAGTTAAATGTGATTTCACGGTGCAATCATTGGCACAAGACACGCACATACTTTCTCAGGAATGTCAAACCAATCGCTAGTCAAAGCATCGGCAGTGGTCGATCCAGTTTGCAGGGATGGCGGTGGTGGAGGAGGAGATGCTTAGTGTTTTGTGCGAAACCTGTCGATGCGAAAGATTTTTTATATAGGTAAATTCATTTTGTTACAAATTTTATTGGATACATGTTTAATGTCTTAGATGGGAAAGTTGCTGGCAACGTTTGTTGCTGAATATTCAGTTTTCCTATCTAAAATTATACCATAAGAAATAAAAAATGATATGGAGACATTCTTCCTCTATGTTCTTAAGTACTCTTCTTATACATCACAACAACAGCTCCTCTACGTATATTAACCTAACAGGCCATCACCAGAAATATCTCAATTGTCAATTGAAAAAAAATCATAATATAGAAATATGAATCCACCATCAAGCATGAGCATCTTCTAGTAGATCTAGCCCAGAACCAAACTTTAGAAAAAAAGAAAGACGCAGCTTTGAAATAGCAACGGAGTAGTTACAAATTGTATGTTCTTTTCGAGGCCAGAACAAGTAGTTTCATTGAAAAATATGAACCAGAGAGAAGCATTGGGCTAAGCTCCAGATGCAGAGAAGTAAAGTAAATTGAATCAGGATGACTATGTTTTCATCACAAAAGCCCAATAGCCAGAGTAGCCCACCCTCAAGAACACTCTAGAAATGGACCCCACCAAGAAATGTCGAGAAGCCTTCCTGAAATGTGACAAATCTCCGACCAGCATTTGAATCCATGAGATCGAGATGGTTAAAGCAGAAAGCTGCACAAAAAAATCATTTTAAATATTAATCCATTAAAATAATCTAAAAATATTAATTTAAAAAAATAAAAAAATATTAATTTTTTTTAAAATAATTTTAAAATATAAAAACAAACAAAGCCATACCACAACAAAATAAAATAGGCAAGGGAGTTAATAAATGAACCTCAGGAATAATTATTCCTTTTAATCCAACAATAATGGTTATTTCATTATAAAGCCAATAATATATTTAATATAACATAATATTATTTTATCATGTTTTAGATGGATAATATTTACTTAGTATTATTATTTCTAAATGCGAGAAGATCATTGTCATATTTTAAAATAACAATATTAAGTAAATATTGTTAAAACATGGCAAGATACAAATTCAATCATCTAACTCAATATGTCAGTTTAGTAACCAATTAGCTCATCAATATTCACATAATAGCTTTTTTTATTTTATTTTTCAATATCAATGATATAGTCAAGTTTTTGATAATAAATGATTTAAAATAATTACATGTGAGTCTGTCATAACTAAATAAGAATTTACCCCAAACAAATTATATGGATGACCTACCAGATGCATTTAAGAACTAGCGAGACAAGTCTAAAAAAATAAAAGGATAATGGATCAAAAGGACCATTGGATTATGCTTAAATTTTTATAGGAGTTTTCAAAGGTTGTTTTTTCTATAGTGGCCACTACTTCACTATATCAACGGTTAGATTTTTAGGTATAAAAAATCTCATTAAGACTTCCTAGTTTTGATGTTTTTGAGAATTCTTTTTTTTTAATTTTTAAATCAGCTAGCCAATTTCACTAACCATTACGAACCGATTAACCTATCAAGTCAGATGATATACTACAAGATTTCACAGTTTTATTGATGGACAAATTCTGTCAATAAGTGATTCAGAGTTCATTGGTAAATTTTTTACTCATTAAATCACTGACAGGAAATGTCCGTTGACTTACCATTCATTGGTAATACTGATTTCCATTGCTAAGTCTGCCAGTAAAAAAAAATATTGTCAATGGTTTTACAAACGGATATTACGCGCTAAAAAATTCCAGCTTGAAATATGCCAACAGATTATTTTCATCAATGATAGTGGCATATCCAGTAAATATTTTTCAGCTCTTGATTAAATACCGACGAGTGTGGCATTTCCACCACTCTGTGAAATGCCGACAAAATTTATCCATATTTAAATTCGTCAGTGATTGTGGTATTTTCATCAAGTTATTGTGAAATGCCGATGGACACATAATGTCTGTAAATTCATCGGTGATGTTGGGATTTCTCACTCTCTATCAAATGCCGACAGATACATACTGTTTGTAAATCTCTCGATGGTTATTTTTATTTTTTTAAAAAATTATTTAGAATAAATAATATAAAATTATATAAATTAATAGTTAAAAAAAAACAATTATGCAAATAAATTTTATTAAACATAAAAAAAAATTTTATTAACAATTTATAATCCGATTAGAAAAAAATTTTGTGCGTTGTTTTCAATTGAGTAATAAAAAGAGTTTATACTATACTTGTTTGAATTACTATTAGTGGATCCTCTAACCTTGACAATTATTTTATCCTTATTTAATCCCTACATCAATATTATATCTCAAGAATTTTCTTCAACTCCTTGTCATTTATTATTTATAATTTTATATAGTTCATCTCCTTATAGTTTAACCTCGGTTTTATCAAGTTATTTATTGCTTTGACACTTCTACATTTGGAAGAAGACATCAATCTTTTAAAAGTGTCGTATGTCACTATATGCAACTCTTGGTTTGAATCTGTTGGTGATTCCGTTGGTAATATTACCCTAAAAAACTTTCACATCAGCGGACTACACTTTTTTTTATTAAATTTTGAATATTCTATCTATAATTACATCGGTATACACTGACCAAAATATTCTGTTAATATATACCGATTGAATTACAAATAAAAAATATTCCGTTGATAACTATGATCACAAATTACTAACACAATTATTTCATCAATAATATCATTGATATTAAGTTAATTTCTACTGGTGATAGAATGCTTTTACCTTGTTAAGCTTTATAAATATAATATTTACTAGATGTCTCTACTTTGAATAGCGGTAACTATTTTACATACTTAAAAATAACGATATTTAGTAAATGTGATGCTATAAATGCACAATAAGATGAAAATATACTATTTCACTATTTTTTTAATAAACAATATAATTTTATATAGTTCACCTTCCTATAATTTAACCCCAATTTTACCAAGTTATTTATTACTTTGACACTTCTACATTTGGGAGAAGATATCAATCTTTTGAAAGTGTCACACATCACTATACGCAACCCTTGGTTTGAATCTGTTAGTGATTCCATCAGTAAAATCACCCTAAAAAACTTTCACATCAGCAAACTACACTTTTTTTTTTAATTTTGAATATTCTATCTATAATTACATTGGTATATACTGACCAAAGTATTCTGTTAGTATATACCGATTGAATTACATATGAAAAATATTCCATTGATAACTATGATCACAAATTACTAACACAATTATTTCGACGATAATATCATTGGTATTAAGTGAATTTCTACTAGTGATAGAATACTTTTACCTTGTTAAGCTTTATAAATATAATATTTACTAGATGTCACTATTTTGAATAGCGGTAACTATTTCACATACTTAAAAATAACGATATTTAATAAATGTGATGCTATAAATGCACAATAAGATGTAAATGCACAATAAGATAAAAGTATACTATTTCACTATTTTTTTAATAAACAATATTAATGCACCAATTTTTTACGTTTACTAATTGCCTGATTTTTCCCATTTTAGGAGGACAAATTTCTTGCCAGATAAACCATACGAGTGCCGGTTTGGCAAAGAGGTGTTTGGTAAAGAGAGCATCTGTATGTACCCAATTTTTTTTTTTAAAAAAGCAACAGTAGAAATGACATAGGTGGTCATCAGACTGCCTTATTACAGTTTTTTAGCTGTTTGATTTCTATCTAGCAACAAGAACAGGTGGACGATGGGTATATTTTCCAAATTAAAGAAGTAAAACTTTGTCTAAGTATTAAGAAGAATAAAAATTAAATGATCCCCAGTTAAACTACTTTTAAAAAGGGACCGAAATGTGGCAGCCGGCCATTGCCAAAAGGAAGAAAAGATTAGAGATTAATGACGCAAGTTCAAACTAAAACCACCACTACCATTTTAAAACAAAAGCTTCTTTCCTTCCAGCCAACACGCACACACCCACACATTTAGTAACATGATGATTTCTTGATTACAAAGGTATAATTCTTGAATAAACTACGAGCATGTATACATGAAAGAAGAGGACTGTGTATGAACACGTACGAAAGCCTGCTAGTTGTATTCGAGAAATAATCTATGATCGGGTTGTTGTGGATTCTTCGGTGTCACGTGTTGTTATTATTATTATTATAATTATTATTTTTGCACCAATAATATGAACTGGTACGGTTGAAGCAGCAAACCTAATAGACGAACACATTATTCATTTGTTCCCTATGACAAGGTCATATGGGTCACATGGGGAATGAATTATACAATGTTGAAAAATACCCTACCATTGCCTTATATCGTACCTTTTAACCTTGATTATTCTGGTATTTGTTCCCTATGACAAGGTCATATGGGTCACATGGGGAATGAATTATACAATGCTGAAAAACACCCTACCATTGCCATATACCGTACCTTTTAACCTTGATTATTCTGGTGAAAACTGTGACAACTTACCTGCAGGCTACAGCTCGGCCCTCTAAGCGGGGACCATTTTGCCTTGGGAGGACACGTACCATGAGCCTGTGTCCATCCATTATTGAGTATCTCCAAAGCAAAATTAAACTTGGCCATAGGACCACTCTTGAAGAGACCAAACATTGCCAAATCAGAGAGCTTGGATACCTTAACAAGGATGTATAATGTGGATGAAAGGGATTGGCTTCTTTATTTGTATGATGGGTGGGGGTTGCAATGGTCGTGAATCATGTTTTAAGCTGTACTTTTGAATGCAAAGGCCTTAGAATACTAAACTAGGATATTTTATTTCGTAGCCGTACTTGTGGTTTGTTGGGAGCAGGAAGGTGTGTCTTGAAATTAAATCTGCTTTATATATATAGGAGATCTAATAGATTATTGAATGATTTGTCTGAAATCTCTTAGAGATTCTTAATTTGATTGCATGATTTGTCTGAAATCTCTTAGATCTATGCTGGAGATCATGGTGTGCTTTGTTATGTTGGTGGTTCAAGGAAAGTGCCTCTTTCGCCCCAATAATTAGAGCTTCAAGTAGTTTAGTTTAATTAAGTTTATGGCACCCAATGATGGATTGCATCTAGTGGAAGCTTTTCTTTACACGTTTGATTGAGCCAGAGAGGTATTTTCCATTGCTTGGAAGCATGTTGGATGTCCCCATAAAAAAATTTATGTCCTCTTCAAATCAAGCACTTAAAGTGGATTCCAACTCCTCTGCAACCATGGATTCCCCCTTCACCTATTAGTGGGTTTCCCTTTCACAACCTAACCCTTGAAAATAACCATTATACTAGAATTTCGATCTATAAAAAAATAAAATAAAAAAATCCACATTCCCATTTCTTTAATCCAACTGAAGGTGGGCTCTCGCAAATCTCAGTGACCAATGGTTTAGCTCGATATTTCTGTTTGTGAGCAATCGTCTGGTTTCTACTGATTCAGGTCTAATATCTTTAAAACCTGCATAGTTTTCTTGTCTTTTTCTTTATAAGGGTTACTGGGAACATGTGTTACCCTTCAGCCACAAAGAAAAAAAGAAGTAACAGTAACAAGAAGAAAATCCTTGCTTTCAATTAACTGTCTTAACTAAATACCCGCTCAAGATGTATGATATAAGTTCTATTAATTATTATTATGTCCCTCATGGCCTCTACTCGATTGCATCTCTTTCCTTCTTTAGCTTATTAAATTTATTTGTTTTTTTCATATAGTAATACTTCTGTTGCCTTGAAACTATGTTGAATGGATATTTTATTCTTGAAATAGTCAGTTGCTGTTATGATTTCAGGATTAGAATATTGACTCGATCGAAACACATCAATCAGTTTATAATGTTGTCATTGTACTATATATAGAAGGTTGGCAATAATTGATGGACGTGTGTGGATAATATGTTTAACTAACGTACTTGATATATCAAAGGAAAATGTTGCTGATCTTGAGTAAAGACAGTACAGAAGGACAAGATCTGCGTGAATTAATTGAAGAACAAGATCGTTATTAACGATATATAGTTAGGTGACAATGCTGGAAAGCAGTACTTCTGGTTCAGTAATGGATCGATGGAGCAAACACAACTAGTAGTCGAAAATGAAAAATCGCAGGAAAAGACTTACAATATCACAAGATAAAGCATCCAGCAAGCTTTCTTTCAGTTTCAATATTTGAGTCGCATCTATAAATTGCTCTTGTTTTCTTTCTTCTTTTTTCAAAAACAACTTTTTATAGCTGACATTATCCTCAATCAGAGGGCCATGCATAATTTGGATTTTTTTCATTCCCAAGTAAGAATTACTAGGCAGCTCAAAGATGTAGAACTTCCCGTTTATTGCAACCCATGGGCTGGTTTAATTATATGCTAAAAGTGGGTTACGTGAGAAATGAACTGCTATATAGACTTTTGAGTTTTTATGCTGATAATTGATGCAATCTTGCCATATAAATGAGAAAGGTACAATCTTTTTTTGAGAGGAAGGCATCCACTTGAATACAAATGATTTTTTTAGATCATCCGGTATCCAAAACCATATAAGGCTAGGACCACAAGGACGAAAAAGATTTCCCTACCGAGTATTTAATTAATGTAGCTGTATTTCTAAGCCTCTAACCAATGGTTATGGTTAAGCTAGAACAGATCCGTGCCAGCTAATTAATGTACCCTAAAAGGGGTTGAATACAAATGATTGAAAAAATTTGTTTGCGCTCCATATGTATGTTTGAGAGGAGCTAGTGATCCACTTGCATTTTGTAAAGGGTAGTGATGGGGGCGATACCCTAGGGTTCATTGGATTTTACTAGAAAATATGCGGCAAAGCCTATACCTTAAGTTTAATGTCCAAAGACTTGCATGATACTGGCTCGCATGGTATCTTTACAACTGTTATAGATTCTCTCCATTATTGAGTTTTCTACACAATGTGCGTTGGCGTGGACACCACGGTGGTGAGACGCTAAGTTCGAGAACTAATTTCACGTTGAGTTTGACTGCCCACCATTTCATTTGCCTATTTCTTGGCGTCGACGAAATAAAGAAGAGACCACAGATCTCCTACAGAACACGGTGACAGACTGACAGTTCTTGTATATATATATAAATCCCATGAAAACTAACGAGCCACCTGATACGTGAGGGATTGCAAAAATATTGGAGCACGAAGCACATGCCATACGGGGTGACATCATGCACTGCTGCACCGCATGCCTTAATTAGTATGGACTCGAAGAATGCACAATAATAATAATAAATGAAGTTCAGGTCTCCTGTCGCACGAGTCCTTCGATAACCAATTGAAACCTATAAGCTTGTTTAGCCAGTCCAGGGATATGTGTCGTTAAACAAATTGTAACCCACTGAAAAAAAGCTCTTCCAACTCATATCTGACAATTGTTTTCCTTACAGACACTTCAAAGGTTAAAAAACTATTGCATACAGCTGGAAATAGTTTTTGTCGGTTTGTGTAGTTAATTAGTAATAAACTAGTTATTTCAACCGCTGTTAGTACATTTCTTTTTTCTTAAAAAATAAATATGTAATTCTTTAAATATATGTTTTCATTAAAAAATTTAATTATAAATTAAAAATTTATTAATAACTAAAAATTTATTTATCATTTTTATTTAACTCACATAGTTGCCGGACAAATAAATTTTTTCAACCATAAAATAATCAATATGTATGTATTAAAAACTATATATAATTATAAATAGAAGAGTCGATAGTTATATATAATAGAATATAATAAAAATTATATACTTTAATAAAAGCTTGTAAGATTTTAAGGTAATTTTCAACGTAATAGAAAAATGAGATAATATTGCTTTTTTTTAATATTTGTGTGATAGTTTTTTAAAAAAAGTAAAAAGAAAAAAAGAAAAAAAGAATAAATAAATTGCAAAATAATAAAAATAGAAACTAAAAAAATAATATAAATACACCAAATATAGAAGGATAAATATTTCAAATATCATTTTCTTTGCTCATGGTTATGGCCATATATACTCAAACTAATTTTCTCAGTTCTTCAAATAGTGTATTTCATGCTATATCGATTTTCGTAGGACCATACGTGGCATTGTCTAAAATAACAAGCTCTTACTTGTTATGCTGAACTCGTTGTGTGCTGCAAACCAAACAAATATGGCAAGCCACACCTGTTGTTTTGAGTAATCATCGCAGAAAACAGCGGGCATGCTCGAGAAGAGAGATCCACTACTATGGAATTTCTTGTATTCCACTTTTTTTTTTTTACCATCAATTTACAATGTCTAAATAAACGAGAAAAATACATATTTTAATCCACCCTCAACCTTTTAGCTAGGGTAGAATCAACTTCATCTGCTATATTTTCTACACTCTACTTTGTCCTTGTAACGTTGATCGCTTCCACTCAACCAAACGCCGTAGAAAGTCTTTAACCTGTTGAAGACATGATTCATCAGTCCATCTTGTAAGATTGAAAATCAACCAGAAATTAAACATAACCCCTTTGCTTGTTAGATTAAAGAACTTGCCTCCGTTGGCTCTTGTAGAGAATAGGAGGCATTTGTTTCCTTGGGAACTTTGGAAACAAGAATCCCAAGCCCTTGTCCCCTGTTTCTTAGAACCTGTTTAGTATGCATATAACGAATTGTTTAGAAGAAGAAATGAGATTTGGAGATAAGATATGGTTAATAGTAAAAGAAAAGGTAGGGATCAATGGATATAATATGATATATACCTTGAATGCATCCTCATCAGTTCGATCATCTCCGATATAAACTGGTAAAACATCAGTAGAATTGGCATATCCTGAGAAAGAAACAATCAACTATTGTTAATCTACCATTATATGAGAGATTAACTAGAGTATTGACACAAGCATATATTCACCTAATGATTCCAACAAGAACTCAAGAGCTTTGCCCTTGTCCCATTTAATGGTGGGTCGGATCTCTAAAACCTGTTTCAATTAATAAAAGATTGTTGGGCAAATTAATCACATAGTATGATCGAAAATAATCAAGCAGGTTCTTGTAGAGAAAAGGAGTTGTAAAAATACCTTCCTCCCTTGAGTTAACCTAAGTTTTGGATACCCATTGAGAACTGATCTTACTTGCTCTACTAATGCAGCCCACATCTGTCGGGGGGAAGTCAAGAAAGCTATTAGAAATCATTCGCATTATCCATTGAAGTAAATGAAGGTGAAAGGAAAAATACGAGAACGTACCTTTTCCTCGACACAACGAAAGTGCACGGATAGGCAAAATTTGTTGTCTTCTACTCTAGCCCCTGGGATATACTTTATTCTCTCCAGCAAAACATTGTACACCTGAAAAAAAAAAATTAAAAAAAAGGGTACAAATTTAGATTATTTTCATAAATCAATTACTTATTTTTAAGAGAAGGTTAAGGGAAGGAAACAAACCTCATCAATCATGGGTAAAAACTCACTGGCAGGTTGAAAAAGTACACCTTGATAATCCTGAATAATACGAAATTATTATTTGGTGAATAAATACGATTAAAACAAATAGTAATAGAAAGCCCCAAGTTGAAAGACATCCGTGCTCACTTTTTTGTTTCTGCAACCATTCTTGGACGGCCCCTTGATGTCCATGCCATGGCTACCAGCGTAGTAAAGCCCTGCCAATCTTACGAAGCTGTACACCTGCAAGATTTTTAAAAGGTGTAGAAAACAACATTATTGATTACAATACAGTAAAAACCTCCATTAACACCAATTTCTTTCGAATAGAATAATAATAATAATACTAACAACAGAATGATACCTTATCCCTACACCTCCCCGTCACTATAGCTGTGGGAAAGTATCTAGCGACGTCCCTAACAGCTTCTCTCATCTAAAATTTTGGAGGAAAACAAAAGTTACTGTATAGAAAATAAAAAATTTCCATAAAACTAAGGGATTATACAGTACGTATATGAAGGCTACACTAACCTCGTTGGTCATGAATGCCCTGTCAGGATCTTCAACAATGGGTGACAGTGTACCATCATAATCTAAAAACATCACAATCTGTTTTCCCTTTGAGACATTCACTATTTGCTCAAACATGTTCAAAGCAGAAGGATGATTTACCTGTTTGATATTTAATTAAATTCACAAAGAAAAAAAAAACACACTATCAACGAGGTTGAAGGAAGAAAAATAAAGAACTAGTTAGCAGAATGATAGTACAAGAGTACTACTAGCGTTTGGTCTTTGAAGACTTACAATCCAATTATTTTTCTCCTCGATTTCTGATGAAGACGTAGTGGATTTGACACGGGTAGGTGAAGAATCTCTCATAGAATCAGCCCAGAAATTGGTTTTGCCTCCAGTTTCAGTCTTCTTTGCGAACATCTTCCGGGATATTGTGAAATAACCACCAGGAGCAGCTGGCAATGGCTTCGGCACAACAGGTGAAAACAGAGACTTGGACAGGGCCATTGCGATGGTGATATCAACACCTTTTCTGGCATTAGGCACAACCACATTCTGGTTTGTCATCTCTGTTTGTATAAACTAAACTCTGCACACGCGCGCGCACACACACACATTAACATAAAATCAATTTAGAAAGAAAAGAAGAGGCAAGAAACATAGAAAGAAACTACGAAGAAGTTGATTAATGTAAAGAGTACCTGAAAGGTTTGAGAAGATTGGGGAATAACCAGAGGAAGAGGCAGAGAATATAGAAAGATGAGAAAACAAAGACAGGTAATGAAAGTTATTTTGGTCTTAGGATTCAATGGAAAGAGATTCAAAAGAAGAGCAGGATAATAAAGGCCTCAAAAAGGCGAAAATTATACCCGCACTACACACTCGCAAACAAACGCAAACACAAACACAACTCCTTATGCGTTGTCAATTTATAAACTTGGTTTTCCCTGCACTAACTGACTAAACAAACAAAACCCACACTCCCTCACTAGCCCGTTCTGTCGCTTTTTTTTCCCCACAAATATACTTTTTCTTTTTGCTATAAAGAAGTTTTATTTTGAAAAGTAGTTTCGTGAATGTCTTATTAATGTTTAGAAGGGTTAAAAAATAGGTTTAAAATCTTATCTGATCGATTTAGAGTTGGAATCGAGCTGAATTGAAAAAAAATAAAATAAAAAATCTAGCAAGTTAACCTAGTTACCCAGTTAACCTGACAAAACCCGATTAAAAATCCGATTATAACTTGTTAATTTTTTTTATTTTTATTAAAACTACTTTGTTTTAATTTAAAAAAATTGACCCGGACAACCCAGTGACCTGGTAAACCCAGTAACCCCGACAAAGCCTGGAACCTGAGCCTTGGATTGGGTCGGGTCTAAAAACTATGTGTTATAGAAAATAAAATATTTTTTTTTACAATATTTAGATGTGTTATAGAAAATAAAATATATATTTTTTACAATATTTCAATATGCTATAAAAAATAAGTTAGAAAATAATTTATTAATATTTTAATTTGTTTTCAAGTTTATTAAAATGATGAGAATCAAATCTAACATAAAAAAAAGTTGAAGAAAGATGAAATAATTTTTTTTTAATTTTATAAATTATTTCAAATAAAATATATAATAATATGAAGAATGAAAATTAAATCTTATAGAACAATAAATTGAAAAATATAAAATTAAAAAATAAAATTTCAATTTCATAAATTATTTGAAATAAAATAAATAATTATTAAAAGAATGATGACTAAATATAATTGATAAATAAATTTCAATTAAGAAAAAAACAAGAGAAAACAAATAACAATTAAAATAATAAGCACTAAAGTTAATATAAAAATTAAATGAGCACTAAAGTTATATTTGTTATCTTGTTCACTCTTAATATTTACTTGTTAAATGGTTAGTCTAAATTTGTGTTGTATAAGATATGGTACAACAAATACTTGACACTTTCATAGCTTAACCGTATATTATAACCGACACTTGTGCTATGAAAGGAACTTGATTTGTTGTTAACATAAGTTATAATCATTTATACCTGGTAATATTTATAAATATTAGCATTATTCAAATAAAATAACTAATGTAATCATATTAACAACTTATAATCCGATTGGAACCTACTTTGTGTGTGGTTTCCAATTGAGTAATAAAATAAGTTTATACTATACTTTTATGAAATACTATTAGTGGATCCTCTAACCTTGATATTTATTTTTATCATTGTTTGATCCTCACATTGATTTTCCATCTCAAAGTTCTCATCAACTTCTTTATTATTATTATTATTATTATTATTATTATTACTATAATAATAATAATAATAAAGAAAAAGAAGGAGAAGAAGAAGAAGAAGATGAGAACTTTGAGATGGAATATTAATGTAACGATTAAACAATGATAATAACAAATGTCAAGGTTAGAGGTTCCACTAATGGTATATCAAACAAGTATAGTATAAACTCTTATTATTGAATTGGAAACCACACACAAAGGAGGTTCCAATCAGATTATATATTGTTAACATGATTACATTAGTCATCTTATTCAATTAATGCTAATACTTGTAAATCTCGTCAAGCATTCATGATTATAACTTATGTTAACAATAAATCAAGTTCCTTTCATAGCTCAGGTGTCGGTTATACCATACATTATGGGCTATGAAAGTGCCAAGCATTTGTTGTACCAAGTGTTATACAACATAAATCAAGATTAGTTATTTAACAAGCAAAGTATTAAAGAGTGAACAAGATAACAAATATAAAACATGTTAGTATCAAACATTAAAGTCCATATTAAGTTTACATTATACTTATTCTTACACCATTAGTGTAACCTTTTCACCTTGACATAATTAACTTAGCTAGACATAATGAAAGAAAGCAAAATAGATAAACAAAATAAGAACATAAAAGTTAACTAAGTAAAGGAAAGGAAATGAAAGGCATAAACTTAATATTAATGAAAACAAAGCATAAAAAATACAAAGAGAGAAAGGAAGAGCATGATCTTGATCTGAACACCAAGATGCCTAAATGCATGGCAAATGCCTCCTTTTATAGGCCAAAAATGGGAACTATTGATTTGATGACTAATTGATAAGTGGGTGGCCAACTTTTGACTTGGTGACAATCTTTATCTTCTCTTGTCTGCCCAAAACGTCATTGATAACGTCAAAATTGGAGCCAGTTGCAAACATGAAAGTTGTAGGCAATTGTCTCAGCTTTCTTGTGTAAAAATTTCAGCTCATTTGGACTTCTAGAACTCCAGATATGGCCAAAATACCGAACAGTGCTCGGGCTGGAAGACAGATTCGGGCTTCTTTGTTGTTGCTACAATTTGGACTTGATAATGGCCTTTTTAGATCTTGGGCTCCATATGAAAGTTGTAGGCCTATGTCTTACCTTTCCATCCATATAAATTTGACCTAAATCTGAGATATATAGCTCCAGATATGACCCATTTACCGAACAGTGTTCCGGTTTGGATTGCACCGACATCTCTTTTCTAAGTTTGGCCATCTCTTTATCCTTGCAATTTATGTTCTTCAAGTCATCAATCAATCCTTTCATTTATGTGATAGACCTGCATTAAAAATAGACATTTACCACAAATTATAGGTATTTTATATTATTAGATACATTATTATAAAATATATTTTAGTTAAGGAGTTATTGATACTTCAAGTGCAAAATGATGATATAAAACCATGATAAAAATGCACTTTTAAGTACTAATCAGATATCATTCCTAAAGAATGACATGTTGCATTAAAAGTCTATTTGGCACATCTGTGACAGACTTTCAATCACATGATATTTCTTTGCAAAAGTACTTTTACCTATTCCAAGCATTTATGAAATGAAAGAATTGGAAGACTCACTTGATAATCAGATCTTTGCTTCAATCAGCCAATGAATATTTTAGGAATTCTATGATTCATTAGCAACCTCAATCTTACACATCTAGCATGGTAAATTTTTGTAATCGCATTCTAAGGCAGAGTGAGAAAATATTTTTTCAATTTTTCAAGAGTGGTATCCATTTTCAAATGAGAATTGGAGAAGAGATTTAAAAAAATAAGAAAAAACAAAGAATTGCACAAACATATGGACCACTCCATCTTGATCTTAGTTTTCTAGGAAATAAATGGAGTTGAGAATTATAAAACAAGACTTTTTGACCATCATTGAATGTTTTTCTCAATATTTTCTTATCATGAAACTCTTTTATTCTTATTTTATGAATTCTTAAATTTTCATATGCATTATTTATTCTTTTCTCAAGCTCGTTTATTTGTAATTTTCATTGCTGACTAGCATCATCAAGGTATGAATTGAAAGCTTTAATAACCCAATAAGCATTCTTTTCTCAAGCTCGTTTATTTGTAATTTTCATTGCTGACTAGCATCATCAAGGTATGAATTGAAAGCTTTAATAACCCAATAAGCTTTATGTTAAAGTTCCATAGGCAAGTGACAAGGTTTTTCATAGACTAGTTTATAAGGTGACATAACTAATGATGTCTTATAAGCAGTTCGATAAGCCCAAAGGGCATCATTAAGTCTTAAAGACTAGTCTTTCCTATTAGGGTTCATTATTTTCTCCAAGATTTGTTTGATCTCCCTACTAGCAAGCTCTATTTGTCCACTTATCTGAAGGTGATAAGGGATGACAACTTTTTATGTGATTCTATATTTCTTGATTAAAGACTTGAATGACTTGTTGTAGAAATGTGTTCCAGCATCACCTATCACGACTCGAGGGATTCCAAATCGACTCAAAATATTTTCTTTCAAAAGCTTCATCACTATTTTGTGGTCATTGTTTCAACTTGGAATTGCTTCTATCCAATTTGAAACATAATCTAATATGACTAATATGTATAAGAAACCAAATGATGAAAGAAATGGACCCATGAAATCTATACCCTAACAGAAAAAGATCTCAATGACAAGAATAGGATTTAAAAGCATCATGTGATGTTTTGAAATAGATTCCAACTTTTGATAATTTTCACAAGTCGTATAGAATACATCTGAGTCCTTGAACATGGTGGGCCAGTAAAATCCACTTTGTAGGATTTTTGTAGCTATCTTTCTTGATGAGAAATGACCCCCCACATGCCTCAAAATGATAAAATTTAATGACATTACTTACCTCATTTTCAGGAATGCATCTTCAAAATATTTGATCTGGATAATATTTGAATAAATAAGGGTTATTCCAATAAATGTTCTCCACTTCATTTAAGAACTTTCTTTCATATTGGGTACTCAAATGAGTTGGCAATTGTCCCAAAACAAGAAAATTAACAATATTAGCAAATCAAAGCAATGTAGAGACAAAAAGTAAAGATTTATCGGGAAAGTAGTCATCGATTGGTATGAGTCAGATTTCAAATCTGTTGTCAATCTTGACAAATGATCTGTTACAATATTTTCGGTGCATTTCTTGTCTTTGATTATGATATTAAATTCTTGAAGTAACAAAATCCACCACACCAATCTAGTCTTAAAATCTTTCTTAGAAAGAAGATATTTTAATGCTGCATGATAGCTCAAAACAACAACAAGTGACCAACAAGATAAGACCTGGATTTTTCATATGCAAATACTACTAAAAGTAATTCTTTTTTAGTGGTGGTGTAATTCAGTTGAGTACTATTTAAATTTTTACTTGTATAGTAAATCACATAAGGTTTTTTATCTTTTCTTTGTCTCAAAACAGCACACACGACATAATCACTAGTGTCACACATTATTTCAAAAGGTAATAACCAATCAGGAGGTTCAATGACAAGAGCA